ATGTATTATATAAAGAAACATCAAATAATTACAAAAATGAAATACGAGTAAAACAAACTCAATTTCTTGGGTAACTCAAAAAGGGAGAATAGTTGCTGGGTGTAGTGAATGCTGGCATGTCACCTTTGACACGCATGTCATAGATTTGCCATCCTGGTTTATGCAAATGCTATAAACTACAGCTTTCCTGTCTCAAGACATGGACCAGTTATACACAAAAATTAAGAACTACAGTTTATCCCAGTGGATCTTGACGTTAGGACGCCTGTGGTCAGTGAAGAGTTTACAGTGCTCCTCTCTGTGGAGACCTGAATTGCTGACCAGGGAATTCTGGGAGTTGATGTCCACAGATCTTAAAGGTGCCCATTTTGAAAAACCCTGGTGTAGACATCTCTTTTCATTGCCATGGTCTTTTGGCTAACAGAATAATAAACAAGAACCAAAAGGACCATTTGGCTTAAGTGCTTCTGCTAGAGTCACCAAGTTTCATTTTTCCCCCCTTCTCTCTCTCCAGACAATTTCCCAGAAAAGTCAGATTCCAAAATGCCATGGTTTTCCCTGCACGGTGGTGTTAATGTATCCATCATCTTTTTATACTTCTGCTTTGTCTCTAGCTTCGGTAAGTAACAAATTATGACTGTGTTTTCACAATGCACTTACGTTCTGGACTCACACAAAATATTGAATCTAAACTAGCTAAAAGGGGTGGGCTAACACAACATGCTGCGCCAGAAAAAAGCTAACCAAGATTAGCATTAACTAAACTTTGAACATTGGGCAAATGTAGCTGCTGAGTCTTTCACTTACCTTGTGTAGTGTTGGACTACATATTCAGACTCCTTCAGATCATCAAGAAGTTAATCTTCAACCAGTCAATGCAAGACCAATGATAAAACAGATGATAGACTACAATATTTGCAGTTGATATTTAATGCATGATATAGATCGGTGTTTCTCAGCCTTAGCAACTTTAAGATGGGTGGACTTCAACTCCCAGAATTCCCCAGCCAGCATGCTGGCTGGGGAATTCT